TAGGAGCAGAAGGAGCCTTTGGCCATGTCCCGTCTTCATTTTTTTGTTCTATCACTAACACCTGTCCTTGATATAAGTCAGAATCCTGAATGGTGCTATCTGGTTTATTCAGCGGCTCAAATGTACTACTCATATACTTGTTCCACAATCTAGTCTCTTTTTCATCTGGAATATTGAAGATTTTTCTTATTTCCTTTTCAATTGTTTCTACTGTGTCCACTTTGCTAAATCTCTGAGTTACCATGTTTCATGTTTCCATTTTCACAGAGCTTCAAACCTGTGAGATAGACTTCTACTTTGCAGTGCTTCCCAAACATGCCCTGCTCTACCACTGTCTTGCTATTGCCTCTTGGCCTTCCATCAGTGTGTACCAGCTGACGAGTTTATTCCAGCCCTCAGTTGGCAACAGTATATAATTCAACGCATCAATAAGGTGCTCCTTAAGTGCCTGGGCATTGCCATCTTTGAGAAGGCCAGAGTTATCGATGGGTCCAGGATAGACATTTTGATCTCCCATTTGGCATTTATCCCAACTGTCAAAGCCAACATATTTTTTCCACTGTTTGAACCAGTGACTATCTACTAGATACCAGATATACCCTTTCAGGAGCTGGGTTTTGAGCAGCATCCTGATGTCAGAAAGCTGGGTGTCCAGGTCAGCCGCTCCACCTTAGGCCATCTTCTTCCACTAGTGGCAGGGAGGCAGCTGTGAGTTCAGGTCTTAAATAAAAGAAAATGCCGGAACCAAAAATCATTTTGTTCATGCATCCATGGACATAGTGCTTATCTTGGAACAAGGATGCAAAAGATTATTGTAGACATTTTCTGATATAGTTGAGTTATTATAATTATTCAAAAGATGCTTTCTAATGTTCTCTTATATAATAATACCTTTTTGTTTCTTTTCCCTTCCTCCCCATGCTCTAGAAACAGGGTTTCTCTGTGTAGTCCCTGCTGTCCTTAAACTCCCCCTTTAGATCAAGTTGGCAAGGACCTTCCTCTGCTTCCCAATGGTGGGATTAAAGGTGAGTGCCACCACAACCTTTATTTTAAGGTTTACAATAACTTTTCTAAATTTGAAAACATGTGATCTGATACCATAAAATAGCATAAAGTGATTTTCAAGGCTATAAGTTGCAGCATTAAGAACTCAGCACAAAAACACACATTTCCTTTTCCTTTCTCTGTTTTGAGACAGGGTCTCATCCTCAAGCCCTGGGTGTTCTCTAACTCACTATGGAGACCAGGCTGGCCTCCATCTCACTCAGGTCCACCTGCCTTTTTCTCCCTAGTGGTGGGAGTAAAGGTCTGTGCCTCCAAGCTTAGCAGAGATACTTTTCAGAGTATTGTATTTATATAGCAGAGTGTACACATCTCAGATGAAAAATTAATGGTGGATAAAAAAGGGTACTTTTAAATGTGAATGTTTACACTCTTATCTGTGGAACTCACAAAAATGACAAGTTTGGATATCATTACATTACAGGTTTTTCTTTCAAGACTGATATTTAAAAGCTCTCTGGGAATTTCAAATCCCTAGTCCTATATGCCATTCTCTTGAAAGGGAAGGGGATTAACATCGAAGTCAGTGTGCATGAATGTAAACTTGAAGAGCTATGTCCTTTTTAGCATAGCTAAGGGAACTATGTTTGCAAATATCAACACATAAATTCAAATATTCAACTAGAATATTCTTTTATTATTATTCAGAAAATTTCTTTTGGTTTTACATACCAACCACAGATCTTACTCCCCGCTCTCCTCTTCTCCCCAAACTTCCCACAAAAGCAATCGACATTCTGACCTCCTCCAAGAGTAGGCCTTCCATGGGAAGTCAGCAGAGCCTGACACTGTCAGATGAGGCAGGTCCAAGCCCCTTCCCCTGCAACAAGACTGTGTAAGTTGTCCCACCGTAGGCAGTGTGCTCAAAAAGCCTGTTCATGCACAAGTGATGGGTCTTGATCCCACCACAGGAGGCCCCTTAAGCAAATCAAGCGACACAACTGTATTGCCTATGACAAGGGACTAGTCCAGTCACATGGAGGCTCCACAGGTATTGGTCCACTGTTAATGAGTTCCCACTAGTTTGGTTTGGTTGTCTCTGTACATTTTCTCATCATTATCATAATGTCCTTTGCTCATAGAATCCCTTTTCTCTCTCATCAGTAAAAAATAATGACATCATGAAATTTGTAGGCAAATGATTGGACCTAGAAAAAAATCATTCTGAGTGAGGTTACCCAAACCCAGAAAAACAAACAGGATATGTACTGACACTGAAGTGCATGGTAGATGCAAAGCAAAATATATTCAGGCTAAAATCCATATCCCCCCCCAGAAGAGAGGTAAATGGGAGAACCCTAAGAGGGATGTGCATGAAAGTCACAGGAAGAGGAAATAGATAAGATCCCCTGGGTAAATTGGAGGTGTGTAGAATGCAGGAAATAGGGGATCAGAACATGAGGGATGAAGATGGCCAAGTTTTGGAAGGTATGGAGAGTGAAAGCAATTCAAGAGATATCTTGATAGAGAGAGCCATTATGGGGTTA